CACTTTGGAAGATTTGAGATTTTGTGAGCCTTTATCTCCCCAAATTTTTCCAAATGTTGATGGATGCTCCACGGAGGAATGTTGATATGACATTGCTGCAGCCAACCCACACTTATAGTCGTGTAGATACACCTGCTTTCCTCCTCCGCAGAGTTTCCACCAGGATAGAAAAAAAGTTTGATGGAGTAGAATCTGGTCTGGACTGAGCAAGGACTGAAAATAAGTCTTGGGTTGGGTCCTTACTTTCTCTCTCTGACTCTGCCTCTCTCTAGTCATGTATGTCTCTACCATATAGTCGTCCCCTTTCTGTCTTCCTTCCCAGATTTGCACTTATCGATCCGCGTTTGCCATTTGCGAAAAGGGCAGGGATTCGTCCTCTGGCGTCGTTCGTCCCATCCGGACTCTCCGAAATTGTCCTGATCACTGCCCGCCGACCGACTAGAGACCACTGACACTGGAACGGAAAGACAAGACACGTCCTCCGGCACGTGCCCTTCTCCTCATCGTCCAACCAACCTCAGTAGCAGTACGTACTTCCATACGTTGGGAATCCTATAAAACTGCAGTCGTCGTCTGCATTGTTACGTAACGTAATGGTGCCGAGATGCTCTCTCTTCCCCCGCAGTGTTCGTTATAATAATATAACGTCCAGACAGATTTTTATCGAGAGAGGAATCGCCATATCATTCTTAAACTTTATGTTTATTTTATTGCAGTCACACAATAAAATGGATGTTGACGGTGGCATTTGTTACGAGAAGTGGTTCTAAAAGCAGGTGTGACGTTAGTTTGAGTAGTGGACTAATAAAACAATGGCATTCGTATGTGTATGTATATGCATGTGTGCTGATTATTAGTACAGGAAGCCGTCCACTTCCGTTGACAGTTGACACCAACAAACAACTCCAGTTGGTCACATTGTCGTGAAGCGAGTCAGTTGTCCACTGTGCAATTATCTCTTCATCATCACCAACCACCAGCATTCACTAGATACTTACTTAACAAAAGGGGATGCATAAGGTACTTATCTCTGGAAATGAGTTGACGATGTGAATTCAAACTATCAAAAAAGACATCTCTCAGCGGAGGTTGTTCCCAACCAATATATCTTTACGATTATGGGTTGACTTCACACAGGCAGAATTTCATACGAGTAAAAGAAGGCATTATGCTCAGCTCAAATCAGCAGATTGCATCAATTTACAACGTAGCCTCGTCGCAGTCACATTGCATACGTTCAGCAAAAGTTGTGACAAAGTTAGTTTGAGGGTCGTGAGAAAAATATTGTTGTGCGGTAACCAAACGTCAACGTCAAACCTTCAATTAAGTAAGAACTCGTTTCGCAGAACATTTTTCTTATTTTTTACGGCATGAATCATTTCACTTATTCCTAAAAATTCGTAGCAGCACATGTGACATCTGCGGTTAGGTACGTACTACGCATTTGTATTGTATTCGATGCCGGGCATTGACCACATTGACAATTATCACTGAAATCTCTTTGATCGACTTGATTGGAGATTAAGCCCCATAAAACAAAGTTTAATTTCTGCTGGTTCACTCAAACTTACACATTTTTAATTGTACTGGCAGTTTCAGGGCAGAGAAATGGTCCATTAGTTGAGACAAGAAATGGTGGGGTTTAGATTGTCACTTGTCAAGCAAGACTATCAAAGTCAAGTGTTATGATTATTGTTATTGCCATTTATGCATTATTTTCTAAGCAGAGTGCTTTTGCAACAATGTGATTGATTTTTTAAGCTGTCAGATCAGTATAAAGTTGTCCTCTAAAATGGCAATGTCATGAATACAGGGCGAAAATTGCAGATCTTTTCTACAGTAATCTGTTGGTTGGTCATCAAACTTTTATGATCTATTGTTTCAATCAATCTGATTGAGGAGGACCTCAAAATATCAAAATAATTTTTGTGATATTATTGTCCACTTGAAGGAAAAAGTAGAGTTTATCCTACCACAAATTCTAAGGTTTGATTTTATCACCACACTTCAAGATTTATTTGCAACTTCGTCCTTGATTTTCCTAACCATACTCAACAATTAATTCTGACTTATCCTCCTTCATAATTTTTTCAAGAGCAGTGTTTATCACCAGTTTCTCAGTATACGAGTAATCACACCACCAACACTTTTGAAATTATGAGAAATTTTAACCTGTAAGAATCCCCACTTCTTTGGCACACCATTAATCATTGTATTAGTATGACTGCCTGGAATTATTTTATTTAAAGGAGAATACACGTACCTTTAATACATATGTATGCATTTACGTAAGATAAATACGCAGTCAGTACATGCATTTATTTATATCTTGGTCGCATCAATGAGTAAACATTTCGCAACGAATATCCTCAGTCTTCAATGAACTTTCGGAAATTTGTATGTGTAATAATCATGTGATTTAAAGTGTACCTCACTCCGTGTGAGAGTTCCTCCAGATTTTGACGAGAACATTCATTGCCTGTCGATGTCCAGAAGGTAATCATGTTTTTTAGGGTAGCATTTTTATAATTTTATAATTGAATTTCGGCTAAAAATAATTACTTTTATTGTGCTTGACCCACAATAGAACTTACCTCAATCAACTTAGATACCTGTGTCGGTACCTTAATGCGCAAAACTGTGATTGTATAAGTACATACAAGTATGTCGTTTAAGATGTCTTCGTGTCAGAATGAGTTTGATTTTTATGCTACGGAGTAAAATATCGCTTTCGCACAACGACGACAATCGTGATCTCCTGCTGAGCTCGTCAAACTTTAATATTCTTTTATTTTTGTCAGAATGGTCAAGAGTCAATCCTACTTGTGTATTGAAGATATACTTAATTCGATCGGCACATTTGTCACCTCACGGATTGTCGTAAATGTCATTTGAAATCAGGCTGTCGAATCTAATTATTTGGCTACGCAGTACATACCACAAACTTGATTACATACAATGCAGTAGAAAACTTTGCTTAATTGGTTCAGTGATACATCATATTATCAGCGGTCAAATCCAGAATTTCATAAAATGAAATTATGTACACAAGGACAAGTTGTATTGGTCTGGCACAGCAGGACATTATGTATCACGAATTGGATACATACATTTGTGCAACAATGAGGCACAACAATTCCTAAAAGACCAGGAAAACAGGATAAAATAGGAATTGCATAATCGAACCATTACTTTTACAACTTACATTACATGGATAACATCAAGTAGATGTTAATATTTGTCATTGTTGCGAAATAATTATAATTGGGCTGGAAATTTCACCACGAATGTTAATTCTGCTGGAAAAAGACGTGATAATAATGCTCTGGGAATTTGTTTGATTAATATCGAGCTGGTGCATACGTGCCTAGGTATAAGTAACTTATACGTACTTACGTCTTTAGTTGACGGGGTTGAGAAATGGTTAATTCCATCACGGTCTCGTGGTATCATTAGGTAAAAAAGTTGACAAAAAGTGGTCTTGTGTCTGAGAGCTCGTTTTGTCATTTGCTTATGCTTCACTCGCCTCTTGTCTCATATTATTCTGCTTAACAGTCAGGTCAGTCAAATCACCCCGGATCCCTCCAGCAGCAATTTGTTCAGTCTTCCTCTTATTATTATTATTCCTCTTTTATGATTATTATGGTCTGGTGGAATGATTGAGCGTGTAAATTTCTCGCATTTTTTGCATCTCATATTCATCCATTGCTGAACGAGCGCAGTTACTAAATTTGCCCTAATCCATTAAACTATGTGTAACATAAATCACTCTTTGTCAACCGTGTCCGATGGTGGCAAGTAAAGGTCATCTGGTTTTTAGTAGCTTATTTTCCGATCAGAGAATCTAATTTCCAATCTCTCTCGGATGATAATGATTCATCATGATCATGTTGACGAGTAGATAGAGCTACACGAGTCGGCTTGTTTGCTGCAGCTACTCTGTAATTACGATGTGATCGAGGAGGCTTACTTCTCGCTAATCCTGCTCTTTCTTGATTACGTCCAAGAAGATGTCAAGTAGCTTTTTTCGCAAATTATTGGAAATTCTGGGCATGCATACGCGTTATAAGACGACGACGACGACGTGATGTCATCATATTCTTGGTGTGGCGCTACGGTGGGTGTTGTTTTATGACAGATCCCATAAACAACAAATTTTGCAAAATTTATCAAAGTGCAACCAAGTTCACAGCAAAGTTATTGTGGTAGCCGTGAGATGTATGGTGACCTAGAGTTTACTTTTGTTATCAGTGCGATGATAATGATGATCGTGCTGCGAGTTTAGATTTTGAATGTCATTTCTCATTCTGCACAACCTTCATGCACAATTTGCTGAACTACAAATAATAAATTTTCAGTGTAATTAATTTAATTTGACAAAATCAAGTATTTCCTCAAATGCAAATCTCAATTTAGAAAGAAAATTCCTCTTAAGAAAAAAAAACAATACATTCGTCTTTGCACCCACTCGTGCAATTAATAACTGCTCTCTTGTAGTGGCGATGCTGGGTCATTAAGAAGTCTGCATAGTTTACTTGATAGTATTGTTTCAGACAATTGAGATTCTGCACTGCATCCTCTGCATAATCCAACGCCAACAACAACCAAGCCCAACACACCACCCTTTAAATTTATGAACCTCTAGATTATCTGACTATCCACCAAATCAGCTATCTAATCTGGCATATAACTTAAAAGTAAATACGTAAGTACGGGCTGACAAGATTGTACGCTGGTTGTCATTGTCCGGTTTGTCACCTTAATCCTACATGCATAACTTCTTTTGTGAATGGATGAAGCGGTTTGGCACCCAGCAAACATACATTCATTAACTCATTAATTTTATCATTAAGCTTTAGTGCAGAAACTAATTTACACAGTGAAGCCAAAATTGCAAAGTGTAAATTTTGCAGATAAATGTGTCACTATTAATTTTACACATTACTAAGAAGAAAAAAGTGGGAAACATTAACAAGTTTTATTTCTTTATTTCTTTACAGTGTTGGAGAAGCTAATGACTGCTGCGGAGGATCAATTGACAGTGTTTGATGTTTGCAGCTTGGCCTTGTATGGGACACACGCGTTGCCAATACGGATCAAAATTGTCATTGTAAGTCAAGGCAGTTATTTCTTATCCTTTCTTGAGAGCCACACCCACTCAAACGAATGTACGATATTACTGACTTCCTGCGAAAAATAAACAGCTTGACAATTAGTCCTACTTACTAATCCGCAATATTTGACGTGCATACTTGTCAGATATTAAATTCAGATCAGGTTTTGCACTTGCTTATTTTACCGCGGAGCAAATGAAGCGATTTGTGTACGAAGGAACGACTTATTTATTAAGCTTCTTGTCTCTTTATCTTTTTCTTGGTCCAACCGGATAATAAAACATGAGACAGATTTAACGATTGTGGAACATTGATGGTTCTTTTTCACCGAATGGGTAGCATTTCCATCTGCTTATGCATATCGACTGCAGCAGTAGTGCAGATGTCACATTATGCATATAAATAAATTGGACGACTGGGTTGACATTTCAAACGTCGGTCGAAAAAATACAATATTTTTATTTTTAAGAATGTCATTGTATCCTTTATAGCTCCTTCGTAAATATCTCACGACATGAACAATTAAGAAACCGGACGAGTCATGTTATTGACAACTTTGGCAGATTAAATTAACCACGATGATGCACTATTTCTGTGAAGGGCAGTAATAAAACAGGAATTTTTTGCAGATCGATTCGCAACACCTTATATTTACCCACTTGATTACAATGTATGTGACAAGTTTGTCTGTAAACAAGTAAAAACCTGAGTAATAACAAAAAAGGAGGCAATCCAACGTATAAAGAATCGTCACCAAGTAATAAATGGTCATGGTGCATCATCTCGTCACCCTACTAGCTTTACCTATGCATATACATATTTCTTAGGAATTGGGTTGGATTCCCGTCGCATCACGACACGTATCTCCTCCAGGATAAGAAGAAGAACAGTAATAAGAATTACGACATGACACGATGCCACAGTATTGAGTACAGAATACGTGTAAACCATAGCATGAAATGAGCTTCTTCTTCTTCCTCCACTACAATTACCAACTACCTGTCCTCTCATGTAGTTGCATACGCTGATTACCTGTACCTTCTTCTTCTTCACTCACTTTTCCACCTTTTGCTTCGGCTTTGTTACCCAATGAGTCAGTATTCAGTTGTCAGTTTGGTTGTGCCACTGCAACATCATCGCTACGAAAAGAAGTTGCTCCCTCCTGGTTGAGAAGAGATAAGTGTGTAATCGTCTAGTGGTCATTATTACTCGTCTCAGTCTCAGGTGGTGTAATCGAAAATTCAGTCAAGTGTCACACCACCACTATTTTCATACATATCGTGCCGTTGAACTAATGAATCGCAAATTTATTAAATTAGCCTTTGTTAATCGGTTATTGCCTCAGTGTTACTTTAAAGTTTGTCCCATTTGAAAATCACCAAGCAGAAAGTGTGTGTGTGTGTAAAATCGCATGTGGGAAAAATACAATTTGTTACAATAATAATTGGATTGGATTTGGACAAAGTAAGTAACAAAGTATCCTCAAATGAGTGAGACTGACCTTTATTTTAGTTCATGTGCTGTGTCCAATGTCTTTGATGATGATTTGGACTGTGTGTGTGTGTGTGAGCATTTTTTATGTATGAACGAATTGATATTTCTTTTTCTTTTCTTTCATAATAATTTTATTTCAACTAATGATTTCCATAATTGAGACAAAACCGACATCCGACCTTACTTTGGCAACTAAAACTTCCCACAATCTGACTTTTGTACACTCACACCACACCAATAATCAAAGCAAGTTGAATTCCCATCATTGTCAGTCAAATCATCCACTATCAAATCGACTTTGTATGCTAGCTCATCTCATTCCATCAAAAAAAAAAGAAAAAATGGGCTGAATTGGTTGGGTGGTTTATCCATCTAACTCTGACTATATGTCCATTAACGTATATACATACAGCACGTTGGAAGACAGTGTTAAACTTTTTTTTTGACATGATAGATATGAAAACGCAAAATATTTCTTTTGCTGAGCTTAGTCCGCAAGGAATAAGTAGTTGAGGTGGACGATGTACGAGTGACTGATTTAAATTTTGATTGGCTTCGTATTAACTGGTGATTGCGCAATCTCTGATAAAACGATATGTCGAATTTTTAGGAAAGACTTCTCACCACTTTGAGTACGGACGATATTGAGAAAATCCGACGTAGTTTCGGCTGGACTCTGCAAGATTTGGCGAGGGGGTACATGGTTCAGGTGAGAATTTCATTAGCAATTATTAATTAATAGTAAATGTATCCACAATTAATTACGTATAATGTGTAATAATCGCTTATCTTGTTAGAATCCTCGCGGAGGCGTAATAACAAGTTGGTCCCTCATACCTACAGAAGAAGAGCTCATAATTCTACAACAATTTCTCCGCTTTCCAGTGACCAAACCCATAAGTCTTGCCCTCATTAAGGAAGACTTTCCCATGGTCAATGTGAATAACAATATTGTTCAATCATCTCCCCCAAATAGCATCAATATTTCTCCCAACAACAACGACAACAACGATCGTGGTACCCTCACGAACGGCAGTTTGAATGGGAAGCATCACTACCCAAATCACAAACCACTCCCACAAACGACCTCACCAAAATCAATCAGCCCCATTCACCAGCTCAGTTCTGCGCTAGGAATTCAGACTGCGAATAAGAGTCTCCATCAACACCATCAAAACCACCCAGCTTCCGGTTTGTCATCTAGTCTTCCATCATCAGGTTGGTCAACTGGTTCCATTAATTAATCCATATAGATAAATGAGCAACATGTCATTGCGTCACATGTTAGCCTATCTCAATTACAATATTAATCGTCTCATAAACAAGATGACAAATCGATCCTTCTTTCGAAAAACTCATCACGTTCACCTTGATCTCCATAATGATATTGATGAAACAGAGTATCGAGTAACCAGCTCCGCAGTGAGTTAGGCTGATCCAGCAGCAGCAACAAAGTTATGTCTGCATCTATCGCCTTGCATGTCCATTCTGCGACTTTTTGCAGACAGACGCAAGTAGTTGACATGACAGGTGGTCAATCCGTCATTTTATTTGACCACGTCGTTCACTTACTTTCCTGCCGTATAAATTGCAATACATTGTTTGCTGTAGTAGTAGCCAGTAAGTAAGTAAGTGACTCGCAATTTTAATGGGTTTCCCTGTCCGTCTTTCTTCTCTTCTTTGTTGAGGACGTGACTTTTGTCCATCTGAAGAAGAAGAAGAGGGACAAAATGTCAAGCGGATGGAGGTCTTTGTTTCTTTCTCAACAAGACTCGTTGGACTGGGGCAGAGGCAGGTGCGATGTCAGAAGGTTGAATGTGGAGGAATGGAATTAAAGTGTTTTTTGTTACAAGCGATAAATTCTCATCAAGCGAAGGAAACACAAAGTTTGGATTCAGAATGTCATTCGGGGACTCAAATATTGTACAAGTTTAGCATATCAATGAGATTTGAAAGATTTATTTTGCTTATTTTTGCAAACCTCTTACACCAAACTTAATTACTTTTTGTTCACTGGGTTCATGTTGTCGTGTGTGCGCTATGCGGTTTTCCTGTTAAGAAGCATTACAATAAATTACATTCCGTCACCTCAAAAAAATCCATTCATTCTTATTTCCCAGGTCTCAAAATGAGGTCCACAAGTCCGCGAGGAGGTCAAGACCCAGTGTCACTTCTCGCCTCATCGGCAGCCCTCAATCTCTCAGTGTCTCAAAACTCTTCCGATGATTCCGAGTCTGAGCGTGATTACTACGAGAGGCGGAGAAAGCATGAGCAACACCACCATCACAATCATCACCATAATCATAACCAGCACAGGTCTCAATCGCAATCACAGCGACAACAATTGCCCGATTCGGTGATGGACTTGAGTGTCAAGCCGGGATCTGGTGGCAGTTCGGGTGGTTGCTCAGCCACATCTCTGAACAATGCGGCGGCAGCCAGTCTTTTAAAGGCGAGGGGGATGACGGTAAGAGCTATTAAGAGTTTTTTGTAAAATATGCATACGTCAAAATTCATTACTTGTATCTGCTCGACTTTCACTCTTTCTCAATTCATCCTGACGTGTCAGCGATTAGCATCATATTTATGCCATATTTTATTAGGTATCACAAGCCCTCAAATCGGTTCGGCAGGGTAACAGCTCTCCAAAAGCGGGACAAAATCCACCCAGTTTTGAAGATAATTTTAACCAAACGCTGGGACTTATGGGGATGGGGATGAATATGTCGGCCCTTCTCAGTAATTTGGGCAACATTAAATCAACCGGTATTTTATTATCTCCATAATATTCACCTTATTAGTCAAATGCATAAAGTTCCATCTTGCTTAATTTTCCATGTTGCTTCTTCCTAATTATTCTCAGATCTCATGGCGGCCGCTGCAGCCCAACAATTCTTATCCTCGGTTACGGCAAGTTTGCAGCAACAACAGCAACAGCACCAACAACAAAAGAAGGCAATGAGTTTGAGTGGACAAACGTCTTCTTCGGGGTCTACGTCCCCCGGGATGCCAGGGATCAACGGTGGCGTCGTTGGGGGAAATGCACCATCCAGCAAGCATTCTCCCATCAACAGCAGTACCACCACTAACAGCAGCAGTATGAACTCACTTAAGCAAGAAAATGTGTCCATGCGACAAGATCATCATCATCAACATCATCACCACCACCAGTCCCCGAATAATTCGACTTCTTCTTCTTCCAACAACAAAAAGGCGAGCACGGGGGGAAAGAGATCTTGGAATCCTTTACCAGCTCCGGTGGCAATGGCGACTCATTTGGTGAATCCTGCAACTGGTACGAACACTATTTTACACTTAAAATTGCATATTTATCTTCAGCATAAATAAATATGTGGCTCCTCGGCATTTGACACATTTTCCCCTAATTTTTCCCTCCAGGCAAGAGACGCGTTCAATGTGCCGTCTGTCTCAAAACATTCTGTGACAAGGGTGCCCTGAAAATCCACTTTAGTGCAGTTCACCTTCGTGAAATGCACAAATGTACGGTGGCCGGATGCTCGATGATGTTTAGCTCACGAAGGTCGAGGAATCGTCACTCCGCAAATCCTAATCCAAAACTACACTCTCCCCACATTCGGAGAAAGATTTCACCCCACGATGGTCGCACGGCGGGTCCTGCTCTCAATATCAACAGCCCCACGCTCATGCTTCCACCAGGAATGCGGTATCCCCCCTTCCTCTCCGGCCACCTTCCGGGTCTCGGCTCACCAAATGGAGACTGCGAGGATGGAGGTGCCATGCAAGACGAGGATCAAGATTTCAGCGATGACGAGGATTTGGTCGCGTCCGGCATGATGGTCAAGATGGACAAGTGAGTACAGAGACCATTGAACTTTATAAAAATATGTATGTTAGTTCTCTCATTAATTAGCATTCCCACAACTTGCTTGTCCTATTCTGCATGTGTACATCATATATAAATTTGCTCTTTAAACAACATTTGCATGTCCAACTGTCCGTCCCCAAATTATTATCATGATCATTCGTGACAAACGCTTATTATGAAAATGAGTCAGATTCCCAGCTCCACTTTACTTTATTACTTAACCCTCATTTTCCCCCATTTGTTATCATTGTAGAGAGGAACAAGTCAATAATGACGACTACATGTCGGATGAGGGCAGTTTCTCATCGACTAACGAGGACTCTTCGACTGCAAAATTCTCTCCCGAAGTGATCACCAAGACGTGCAGCAGCAGTGGAGGAGACGGTAGTAAGCAGGACGGTGCTCGGAAACGGAAACGAGCAAACCCTGTCCGTCTTCCCAGTGTTCCGGATGATTCAAACGACGAATTCTGCTGTTATGATGATGGAACCACGGTTGTGGGAAATAGCAGCAGCACCAACGAAGACGACGATGCCACGACCACCATCGCGACCGATGGGATGACAGGGTCACCAAAACGGTTTAAAGATGAAGAAGAAGGGGAAACCAAGTCTCAATCTCCCCCGATCCAGGAGGATGATGTAGAAGAAGACGATTCCGCAGCTGCCCTAGATTTGATCAGTAGCCCGACCTCAAAAAACGAGAAAAGTAATGACAAGGAGGAATCAACACTGGATGCTGATGATGCCGAGCAAAAGTACAATCACACTACAAAAAGCAGCCCAATAAGTGGAAACCATTCAGAAAACGGAGATGACAAAGCACAAGGAGGAGAAAACGAACAAGAATTTCTTGATGACCAACCCAGCCCAAAGTCCCGTCGGGATCAAGCCCAAGATGTGGATCATTTAGGACGACTTCAGAATCTCCCAATTTTTTCTTCCTCTTCTATCAAAGAAGAGAACGATTCTGAAGAATCGTCCGAACTTGGGAAATCTGACGATGATGAGGAAAACACGGGGAGGTCGAATTCCTCTTCAAGTAAGTGTCTGATGAGATTTCTCCCACTTTCCCCTTCGTTTCGTTGCTTATAGTTGTTGTCCATCTGTCTCCTCTTCTTCTCCTTCCTGGCCGTCAGTCAGTCAGTCCACTGCTCTCTCACCCCTGGGGAGTAGAGGATTAGTTGGCTGGCCGAGTGAAAAAATCTGCTCCTGGTTGACGCTCTCGAGTGATAACTGGAAATTAATCTTTGTTTCTCTTCCCCACAAAACAGATGGGTACATTCCAATAGATCGCGAAAACCCGAGAAAGTGTTCAGCATGTGGGAAAGAATTTCAGAATCAGTTTGGCGTAAAGGTAATACTAAAAAATCAATTAAATTAAAGTATTAACGTTTTTAGAAATTATAACACTAAAATAATTCTAGGTCCATTATCAGAACGTACACTTAAAGGTGAGTCAGTTAATATGATGGCGGCAGACATGTCTGCATAGCGTAGAATTAACCATAATTATTACACCAGTTCACGCACTATTATTGGGAAATGGTGGTGCTATGTACTATTACTTATGCAATTCGCCTCTATTTGCTTACAGTTGATGCACCGTTGTTTGGTGAACGGTTGCATGAGTGCATTCCCTTCAAAACGGTCGCGAGACCGTCACTCTTCTAATTTAAATCTGCACCGAAAGCTTCTCAGCACCTCACCCACCGATTATTCACCCAGTGGTCGGTCACCCTCTCCACCCTCGTCCACGGGGTCTGCACCCGACCTGAGTAGTATCAGTCCACGACCACGAGAACGCCGGCCTCCTGCCACCACAGAAATCGATTTCATGACCACGGCCACCACCAATGCACTCTCATCCTCCGTTGGTAACTCCAACCAGGGCTTGTCCATGTTTAACCCCTACATTTTCAGGAACAATCTGCTCCTCGAGAATAGTTTGTATATTAACTAACTTAGTTATTTATTATTGACGATATGGTGTAATCAAATATAATCGGGAGGGTATTTTGCTCACCTGGTGGGCACACCCATTCTTACTTCACGCAATTCCACAAGTGTACATACATTCGCAGTTTTGTAGAAAAAATTGTTTTAAAAACCAACCTCGTCGTAATCAACTGCTCACCAAAACTTTTGCTTAAATATAGATTTAATACTTAATTGTTAGTTTATATAAGAAATGAATCAACAGGATTTTATAGCCTGAACGAAATACTCATTAAAGGTTCCCATTCTTTAAATGTACAATTTATCCACTCATTCATTCATTCACTCATTACACTTTCACCTTAATAATCTTAACTTACCTTAATTATTATGCAATAGTTAGATAGATATTTATAGGAATACAGTCTCATCTACAACGCCGCTCTAGAACTAGTCACAATTCATGAGTTTACCACACATAATCGAATTATGATGATAAACGTGGAAAAAAATGACACAAAATAGTGAAAGTAAATTGTACATACTTAAATACATAAGTAGCAGCTCACTCACTTTTAATGACTCAAATGAACAAAGCTTTACAGCACATTTTAATTAAATGGGTAGGATTAAGTAAGCAAAACCCACGCACTGCTTTATCTCAAGAGGGAAGAGGAGAAAGGCGATTCAATCAATATAAAATGACAAAATGTGTCATTCTTTTAAATACTTACAAAGTGTAAAATATTGTATGTACTATTCGAAAAAATATTGAAATGACACGTCTCAGATTTCATAGTGATATTATTATCAAATTTTTGTCCCATTGTTTTAACTAAGTTTAGTTTTATTTCGTACAAATCTTCTGCACTTGGTAGCACACAAACACACACCTCTATTATGTATTTAGCTGATAGATATTTAACCAGCAGTGAGAAAGAACATACCATTTTTTCCGTCACAAAATGCCCCTTATGACAAGTTGTTATTTAATTCTTAATAAATACGTATAGCAATAGTTTTAATGCCAAAAAATAAAACCGAATGTAAACATGGTTTTGCTGTTTAAAGCATTTGTGCAATCAAATCGTATAAATAATTGTTCATGAAATCTTGATGTAACGATTTAAAATTGAAATAAAATATGACGCTTGAAAATTAATTGTGACAATTTACAGGGGATTCATTTGCATATATTTTGTACAGCATTGTAACATAGCGACGGGGGGAAATTGATACAATTATTAAATATTTAATGTTTATGCCGTTAATCAAGGTTGATTGACAACTTTAGTAATAATTACAAGGTTGCGACAATTGCTTCGACGACTGAAAAACTTTAATTTTCGAAAAGCCTGGAGTCTGTAGACTCCAGTGTGCGCCGCACAAATTTTCACCAAAAAAAATAAAACGCCCAAAAATTATCAACACTCCCATTTCGTTCCCTCGAATTATTTTTTCACCATGGGTACAAGAATCTATGCAGTTGTAAATGTGAAATCGGCTATTTCGGCGTTCTGACAGAAATTTATGTGCTTTAATTACCGTTAGCGACGGCCCAAATAATTAGCGCTTCAAAAATGAAGGTTTTTGACGCTCTCGAAGCAATTGTCGTAACCTTGTATTATGATAAATTGTCAAACAATCTTGGCCGTTAATTGAAGCTGGGCCCATCAAGAACTACTTATCATGCATGTATTATTAGAGTTTGCTGTGTCACACGTATCTGAAAATCATTAATGATGCGTAGAACGGAAAGTTTAGACCATTTAAATCATAAGCAACACCAAGAGCAGAGCAAGAAAAGATCAAACAGATCCAAATCCAAGCCTAAATCAGCTCGCAAATCTCATCATCATGCAGGGAGATCCCCTTCCATCGTACTACAAATAAGCATAAAATTAATTATAACAAGCATTATACTATGCATGATTTTCACTACTTTTCCGTCCCACCAGGTCAGACTTTTAACCTACGACCCTAGTTTTGAAGAATTCGATACTGCGAAATATGAAGGCGAAGTAAATTATTATAGGAAGGCAAAAGTCACCAATCTCAAGAGCATTGTTGCCGGAACTTATAATAAAACTAGTCGAATCACCACCACCACCGAGGACGAGAAGGATAAACCATCCACGAATAATGAATCGTTGCTGCAAATACTGAAAGCACCTACCGTCCCCACCTCGGTGTCAACTTCCCCCTTCGAGAGAGAGGAGTTGGACCATAATAGACACAGTGGAATTGGTGATAATGGTGATAATTTTCATGACGACGATGACGATGATGATAATGATTACGACGTATCTGAAGTGGAAACTGTGCTGCACATTCCAATTAAGAAAGATGGTCATGTCCCCTCACCACCCAAAAATGACAGATTGGTCAGTGGTTCTTCACATTTTGAGAAGAATAATACCACCCCCTCAAATCTTTGGGGTTCTTCCTCCACGAATTTCGACCCCCCACATCCCACCTCGTCCACAGAATCCATAAAATTCTCCCTGGACGAACTTGACGAGTGGGAGACAATTTTTACAAAAACTTACAAAGAGGAACAAACCTCGATAGAAAAGTCGCATGTCGAACCTTGGCGAAAGTTGGAGGTGGATAATAAAAATGCATACAAATTGTTCAAATCTTTATGCATAAATAACGATATTTTCCTCATTTTTGAAACTAGCAACTCTATAATCTCTACCGCTCCTGGGTTCTAGACCTTTACGAACAACTGGACAAATTTTACGACACGTTTGAAGAATTCCAATCTGCCACGGAATTTGATCGGAGAGAATTTTCCCAAGAAATCCATAACTTACAAACACAGCTTTATAACTCACAGTTAGAAATCTGTCATGAAAGGGGGAAAGTGGAAATGATAGAGAAGGATAATCATCGACACGTTAAAATTATTGAGGTAGGTTGAGACATGCAGATTGTTAACTATTTTTTTCTTCTGACATAAGTTGCTTACCTTGTTTAGAAACTTAAAGCCACAGTATCCAACCTAAAATTGGCAGAAGCAGAAAAATTGCAGCATTTGGAAAAAGTTCAGGTATCTCATAAATCAATAATACCACCTTGATTTTTACTCAGATTTCTGCTATATAATTTTAGAATGACGAGGTAAAAGCTGAACAAATCGCCTTGGAGCAATGTAGAGCAAAAGTTTTCTTGAAAGAAAGGTATCGCAATTTCTTATTTATTTCCCCTCCTATTAAAAAGTGTGCAAAATAAAATGCATATTTTGTATATGCCATTCCGCAGGCACATACAAAAGCTAAATATCGAAGAGCAGGCCATGAAATGCAGAATACGAGCGAGCCAACGGGAAGAATCTCATCTTCAAAGCCAACTTACCAAGTTGCGAGCCGTGGTGATGACGATGGAAAATCGAGTTCGGGACGTGAGACGTGCCGAGGATAAAGAATTGGACGAATGCTGGAGGAATCTTAGCTCTGGAGCAGATTGAGACTCGAATGGTTGGACTTTCATAACAAAAAACGAGATCGATATTTTATTCATTCTTTTACAATAAAGTGATAACAACGATAATTAAGTATGGCTACTTTTTTAAGCTAGAGATGAACTATTACTATTTGAACGAGCGTCTTCAGCTAAATTATTCACTGATTTGATTTATGGATGTATATTCTTAAAATGTGACAAAAATGAGAGACAATAATAAGGTTCTAGTGGGTGATAAGTAAGGTTGACTTTACAGTAATAATTTAGTACTACATTTTCTACAAGTATTTATCCTTCTAATTACGCACTAATTATGTATTTATACTTAAACTAGCATATGTACTTTCTAGATTTTCTCTGTCATCGTGTATTTATTGTGGACTCGTTAAAAAATCAGACTTCTAATAAATAAAATCAAGCATTCTGCTATGTTGTAACGAGTCTTAAATTATTTAATTCCTTATTTACCTTGATAACAATTGAATTAAAATTACAAAGCTTAAAATGCAGCGGGTCACTTAAACTTTTGTGACATCGGCTGGCGTCTACTAAAACTATGATCTGTACAATTATACTGTGTAGGCATGATGATGGAGATGATTTGTGGATGTAATTACGTTACGATAAATACTAATATAATGATATTTTATGAAGGTTTATATGTAAGAAGCCCCCAAATGGTGGTGGGTTTGTTGTTCAGTGAAATGCTCGAGGTCGGAGGTCAAATGTCATATGTGGATCACTTTAAAATTATTATTTACGTGTTTAACCATATGTTTAAGTGATTATTCTCAATCTAATCCTAAGATTTGTTAGTATGTACAATACCCCAATAACCTGGCTGACTATGAAGAGTTTTAATCTTAACTTTAATTAATTATGTACCTGCATACATAATTTTATGAACTCAAATAAAAGGAACTGCTGGCGATATGATGAGTGAATTAATTGAGTAATTAGATATTATTAAAACCTGGTGACATGCAACTACTAAAAATATTTAGTATAAATTAATACAACTAAATAAATATAAGACTTACTGTTTTATTATTGCTCAATCTACACAGGTTTTAGAGTGAGACTCTAATTTCTTACCAGAGTCAAACACCAAACTACAACATTTACACCTGAACAAATCTTCGGAGTGGGAGGACTCCAAATGGTTGATAAAAGTTGGACCTTCGACGAAAGATTTTCCGCAAAAGCGACACTGCAATTAATTCCAAGTAGGGGTTACAAAGTGACCGTAATAAAAATACGGGGTGGGTCAAACTATGTACTCACGTCAACAATGGAAGGAACGTCTTTCGGAACCCCGGAGGTAAGATGAGGGGCACCAAAAGCAGAGGGGAACATGTTAAAAGGGTGGAGAAATGGATTCCACGGCGTGTTACCCATGGGTGGACTTAGACTCTGGAAACATTCATTTTCATAATTTATCTGCTTATCTTTTAAGAAAAACACACATTTTATACGACGAGTAGTAAAAATATACCGTGTGAAAATGAGAGTTTGGAAAATTGTCAAACATTTTCATTTGTTTCCTTACGTTAAGCTTGTAAATAATTTGAGACAAATTTTGATGGAATATTATCCTCAATTTCTGCGTAATAAGAGTGGAAACCGACAAAAATCAAAAATTTATGCTCACCTGAGACGGAAGCCCGAGAACGTTGGGAGGAACAGCAAATCCATTATTGTTGAATAAGTTGTAAGGATTGAAGAACGCGTTGGGTGTGGTTGTCGTGGTGGAGAGCGGGGCATGATGAGGAGCAAGAAGAGAAGGAGGTGAGGTATCCAGAAGAGATCCAGGCGTCTCACCTTCCTCCTCGTCATCATTGTCCTTGTTAAAACTATCATTACTGCTACAGCCATGGTTTGAGGTGTCAGAAGTTGACAAAAGTTTACGGTGGAGATTTAAATTAGAAGCGTGACGATCTCGGGATCTCTTAGAAGGGAAAGCTGCCTTACAACCGTCCACCGTACATTTGTGCATCAACTAAAAAATCAATCAGGGAACGAGCAAAATCAATAAGTGATAGGAATCCTTGCCCCCATGAATAATATCGATTAATGGGAAAATTCTAGTCACCTTCAAGTGTACATTTTGCATGTGGGCTTTGAGTCCAAAATGGTTTTGGAAGTGTTTGCCGCAGACCAGACATCGCCTTGGGTTTTCTGGATCGAGAGGAATATCTCCATCTAATCGGGATTTTGATTCGAGTTAATAATTACGTGTTTAAAATCGTACAAAAAGCAAAAAAAGCTTGTAATGAATTTTTTGTATGGGCTGAATTTTTACTTTTACCTCCTTATTTTTTAAGCAGCAGTAAAATTTCCAAGAAAAATATTTTAACACTCACTCACTGGAATTCGGCGATCCTGTCTCCTCCCTGTTGTCCTCATCTTCAGACTTTAACGAGGAATCCGAGAGATTGTTGTGAGGTGAGGTGGAAGAGAAAATTGGTAATGCCTCCAACTTTCCCAAGTGGTCAGTCTCCTCCTCATTGTTACCATCGTCATTATGGTTCATACCTTTCTCTGGGTTGTTGTGGTTGTCATCGGAGGAAGAAAGTCTCCTGCTGCTGGCGTCCTTGGTGGCGAAAGTCCTTAACTTGTTGACTTTGGTGGAATCCAGTAATTCTCCGTCCGACGACTTTCTCCGCTTTCCATCGCGATCGTCGTACTCACCATCGGCGTTATGCTTTGTACCGTCCGGGGGTGTTCCAGGGTGACCGTTTTGTGGGGAAGTGGAATTACTTTCACCATGCTTCACACTGCTCCCATCCTCACTTTTGGTGGAAGATAAGTGGTGATATCGCTGATCGGGTTCGTCATTGTCTTCAATGTCGTCGTCCTCATGGGAGACCACGGTCCCGTCGTCGTAACAGCAAAACTCGTCGTTTGACTCGTCAGCCACGTTGGAAAGACGGACCTGTTATGCAATGTTAGAAATGTGGTTTCATAAATTACCCCAGAAATTTAAGAGAGAGAATGCATGCCCTATTTTTGGTATGAATATGTAGGCTTGACTTGGTAATAAAACGAACTTTACACAACACACCTCAATTAATTTAATTAATTAATTGGCCTTACCGGATTTGTCAACTTTCTCTTCCGAGCACCGTCCTTCTTGTTGCTAGAGCTGTTATTGGATGGGGAAGATTTCGGCTCTAGAAGTTCCTCGTTTGCCTCATTAGAGGAGAAAGAAGCTTCTGAATTGGAGCCGTCGGGATCCATCATCATTCCTCTGCAGAAATTATTCAAATATAGCAAAGCGTAAGTTGATGCTTAAAAAAGCACCGCAATCAGTAAATCCATACCTTTCCATTTTCACCATATGTTTCAAATCCATAGTGTCATCATCACTGCTTTTATCATCATCCTTGTCATCTAGCGACATCCCAGCCCCACCACGACCATTATGTGGCAACCCCATCCCAGGCAGGAATGGTGGGAACCTCATTCCCGAGCCGGGAAATAGCATAGGATTATTCAGATTGATGAGAGGTTGACCTAGGTTCAACGCCACAAATTATTTTCTGTCCATGTGCAATTAGTATAAAATACCAAGATGACAAAACTTGTTCATTCAATAAATGTCAATCATACAGTCAAAAAAGATATACTACTTTTCCTTATAAAGCAAAAAAACAATTCAACACGTACTAGATCGACCATCGTGTGGCGAGATTTTTCTCCGTAAATGTGGCGAGTGCAGTTTCGGATTTGGATTCGCCGAATGCCGATTTCTCGATCGTCTCGAACTGAACATCATATTGCACCCGGCCACCGTGCACTTGTGCATTTCACGGAGATGTACAGCACTAAAGTGGATTTTGAGGGCTCCTTTGTCGCAAAATGTTTTCAGACAGACGGAACATTGCACACGTCGTTTTCCTGAAAGTATAGCAAAATTATAGGAAGCTCTTAAGTTCTATGTGCTTCACATCAAACAGAACGTGATTGACGCATGGAGAAAGTAATTAATGTGCGCCAAGTAATTACCTGCAGCCGTCATGGCCGAGCTGGGATTGACAAGTTGACCTGCTGACATCGGAACTGGATTCCAACCTCGCTCCCTCTTCAAGGGTTGCATTGCCTTCCGTGAATGTGGAGTTCCATGACCTCCTCCACCACCACCACCGCCACTGGAAGGTCCATTACTACTGTTCGCCATTGCTGCCGCCGCCGCCATGAGATCAACCGACTTGTTGAGATTGTGCATATTGTTGAGATTGCTTAAAAGTTCGTTACTCATCCCCAACGGGTTACCACTGCTCCGGTGGTTGCTTTGATCTTTCTCCCTGCTGCTGCTTTGGTGGTGGTGGTGATGGTTTTCCACCGAGCTTTCACCACCACCTCCTTTCACCAAGCCGTGTTGCTGCTGCTGCTGGTGAAGATGGTTGAGGTGATGGTTGAGGGGATGGTGACCACCGTGATGATGGTTCATGTGATTTGTGGCGTTTGGAAGTAACGAGTTGAGAGAGCTGATCAACCGATCTCGTTCCGCGGCGTGGAGGTGGTGGAGCGGATGGTGATCATTGTTGGAGGAGGATGAGGTGGGGGTGTGGTTCATGGAGGAGGACCCGTTCCCACCAGTGACGGAGGATGAAGACATCCGTTTGTTGTTGCTGCTGCTGTTCGACTTTGAACTCAGATTCCCGTTGATCGTATTGGTGGTTGAGGAGCTCAGATCGACAACTTCATTTGCCTGCTTTCTCTGTTCGGATGATGAATTTGTAGGGCCGGCGGCGGCAGAGGAGGACAAGTTCAATTCAGCCAAGTTGTGATTATCTTCCTCGTCAGAGTCGGATTGAACGGATAAGTTGAGAGCCGATGAGTTTGTACTGCGGCGACTGTTGCGTCCCCGACTTCTGTCCCCTGTTTATGGTGAGATTCATGATAAATACGTATGTATGTAACTTGCTATAGTGGAGTTAGTACTATAATTTTTTGCAACTGTTTTTTTTAAATAAAACTCTATCCTCTATTAAAATTCAGCAGGTAACTAAACTCAAATCCGGTTTTAAACGCAATGCGTCGTCGTTGTCAATTTCAAAATCCTCCTAACGCTTAATTAATGTTCTCAAATCTCGTCCCGTCATTCCGGCCATGCGCCTTCTCACCATGCATGCGATGCGATGCAGGACAATTACACTCCAAAAAGAAGACTGATGACTTTAATTTTTTAAACGCATCATCTCCTGCACAGCCGAAATTGATGATTACAAGTACAGAGAAAAATACTGGCCTCAGCCTGATCATCATTTACATTTTGTATTCGATGATCCCATCTGATTTGAAATACAAAAAAAAACATATTTATGTGACTGGAATGCATATGAGGTTTGCGAAAAGTCTTGAGCAGTGTCAGTTTGCGCGTTCAAATTGTGGTCCATAATTATGAGACCGGGTGAGGGACGAGTTTGATTCAATCACCCGACTTATTAAATGCAAATGAGATAGTGATCAGATCACTTTTGATTCTTGTTCCAAAAACAAAAGGATAAAATATGGCAAAGAATCAATACATGATGTATCGTACTTACATAAGTGATCTGTAGATACGTATGTATGCAAATCTATCTGATTGTCGTCATTGCGCTGGGTCATGTAATCTGTACGAATCATTGATATCGATGCATACCTACAAGAAGATTACGACGCTTTCTGCATAATATGACAGTCAGTCATTCATTATCGTTGCTGACTGAATTCCAACAACCACTTGTCAAAAGTTGATTAGAAGATGAAGTCAACACTTGCAAAGATTTCATTGAGACGGACAGGTTTAATGAAATAGATAAACAAGGTGTTGCAAAAAGGGTGAATTTATGATTTGGCAATCGCTAAACCAACTACTTCTTCAAGTTCCAAAAATGGCAAAAAGTAAAAAAAAACGTGGCACTAATGACTTACCTGATCCTCCAGCTCCGCCGCCGCGTTGCTCATTATTCTGCTGTTGATGATGACTTTTCCCATTATTTTGCCCACTGGAGGGGTGGTTACTATTAGAATGATTGTTACTCGGTGTTGGAGCATTGGTGGTGAAATTAGCTAGCGAGACTGGAGGAAAGTGAGGCAGTCCAAGTCCACCCAAATGGTTGAGATGTGAATTTAGGGCGAAAAGAGATCCCGCTGATGGAACACTACCACCACCTCCTCCTCCTCCTCCCACACTGTTATTGTTGTTATGATTTAGAGGACTCTTTGGGGAGAGGAGGGAAGTGTTGGAGGAACTGCAAGCACTTCCCGTGGAGTTGGTGCTGCTCAAATTGTTGCCATTATTGTTGGCGGAGGAAGTGTTATTATTGTTGTTGAGGCTGGGTGTGGCCGGGTTGTTGGTTGAGGGGGCCAAGGTGTGATTCAATAGGGGATGAAACAGGGAAGAAAAGTTACTCGGGCGAAGGACTCCTGCCCCCATGCCGGGCGACATGAGGGGAAAATCGTCCCTCATCAGGGCAAAACTTAGCGCGGAAGTGATCGGGAAACGGAAAAATTGCTGGAGAATGACAACCTCCTCGTCTCGAGGGGGCATCGTCCACTTGGATAAGAGACCGCCACGAGGATCCTGCAAAAAACAGGGTGGAGAAAGCAGTAGAATTTCGTGCTAATATCAATTTATTTGGATTAGATATCCATTTGCTCAACTGGGGACGCGAGGTGTATGAAAAAAAAACTTGATAATAATGCCGATTAAATTCAACCCTTCCAATTTCCAGATACTGCTCTCCTACTTGTGAAAATGTCATAAGATAAATTTAGAAGGAATAACACGAGAGAAAACAACAAATAAAAGTCACCATCAACCTCGTCTCTCAAGTGTTACGAGCTCTTTTTCTTCTTAACTCGGCCAAAATAAGGTGTACATTTAGTACTATTTCGTACCCATATACGACACACATATATCTGCTTCATACATGTCGTAGTAGCACCGCCAAGTCAGCAGATTTCGTAAAATGAATTCACTCGTTCTTTTTGTGGGGGAAGAAGAAGGAGAAATGTATGTCCCAGTTGGCAAAAGTAAGTGAAAACATCCCATTTTTCTCCCAGAAATGTTATGGCATGTTTTTCTTTGTCCGATCTCAAGTTATGGTTATTCGCCTTCTTGTTTCTTTTGAGAGTTGGTAACGCCATTTGAGCCCAGAGTGATGACAGCCATTCACTCTCTTAAAGTGTAACGCAATGTCTTTCCCACTACATTCCGTGTGGTAACAAAAAATAAGAGAAAGAAGAAAGAATGAACAAGCTTCTTTTACTTTGGCGTAGTCGTGGCGGTGGTGGTGGGGATTGTGGAAAAAATAAGAAAAGTTGCCGTTGGGACGTTGATATAACACGAGAAATTCCCACTGGAACTTTATTCCCTTAACAATGTTCTGTCTTTTTTCTGGGCAAAAGAGACTCCATACACGATACCGCCTCCGCAGTTTGTTTGCGGTCATTTTTCTCCACTATTTACTGTCACATTGTCAAATGACCACGTGTCCCCCGAATCATTTATCTCTCCAATAAGGAGAAGAAGCAGAATGCATGCAACTGGTCACTACATATGCACTTTTACGTGTTATCTATTTTCATGGGGGAAAGAAAATCAAATATTAACTTTTGCTACCTGAACCATATATCCCCTCGCCAAATCTTGCGGCGTCCAACCAAAGCTGCGAAGGATTTTGTCAACTTCGTCCGGTTGTAGTGTGGCAAGAAGTCGTTCCTAAAAGTAAATAATTTCTGTAAGTGTTAAAAATCCCTCGATTTTATCCGATCATAACCCAACCGAGTAAATACATTGGAGACAAACGTTAAATAAATAACGTCATCTTAAGCTACGTATCATCATTTCTCATCTTAAAATCTCTCCGTGTGTGCGTTCCTCCTGTCCCCAAAAAGGAGTTAAGTGGTAGCATTATTGAAGTAGCTGTGTGACGTGCGATGGAATCTGTGTACGACATAAGGGTTCACAAAAAAGTCTTCACAGGTCGGCTCCTCATCCTCCTCCACCGTGTCATCCTGTCATTCTTTGTGTTATGTCATTCCACGTTGAAGAAGAAGCGACGAAGCGAGTCGTCCACATTTTTCGAATGAATCCCTCAATTAGGCCGGTAAGTAAGTAAAGCCGAAGGGTACACACACACATTGAGATTCGAGATCACGATGAGATAGTTTTGTGTTCAAGCACAAGCTCAGGCAGGACTCGAGGTAAAGTATTATGACCACTTAACAAGTTTTGTAAATGGGAGCACTTATATAACTTACGATGACAATCTTGAGCCGAATGGGCAATGCGTGTGTCCCATAGAGGGCCAGCGAGCAGACGTCAAAAATCGACAGGGCATCATCCCTCGATGTCATAAGCTTCTCCAATACTGAAAAAAAACACAATAGAATCCAATCACACCACAAATCCCATTTACTTTTCTTATAAGATAGATGATGCATAAAAGTTCTTCGTGTGGAGACAATATTGTCCTTAAGCCACAAGTTGAGATGAGACACACTTCAACCATCGTAAAAAAGCAGATAAAAAATCCATTATCGCCATTTGTAACGCCACGCCGGACAACTAACCGTCCGCTGATGCAGCAGCAGCAAGAGCTAATCATACATGAACCATTATCGAAAGATTTTTAAAAGTCAGAAGCTAATGTCCGAGCAGCAGCAGCTTGTCCGTTGTCACGTCGAGAAGAATGTGTATTCTTCAAAATTAAATCCAGCCGTACGTAAATACATACGTTCGCGTTTCCATTGTCAATAAATATACGCAGCATAAAAAACTAGCTCGCTCGCTTGAGTCATCCAGTTGTGTTTAACTTGCTACACATTTCATTTCATTTTTTTTTACAAACGCTGATGTTGATGATGTTGATGTTGAGCAGTAAATGAGATTTACATCAACTCGAAAGCTCATGTCACTTACATGCATTTCCCAAGCGTCAACAGTCGCCAAATGAACTTACACCACCACCATTTCTTTGGGGAAAGTGCTTGCAAGGATCGTGTCGTGTGATACGCCTAACACGGAATGGGTTGCGAAATCATAATCTTTGAAAATTTTGCAAACCAGTTTATCAGGAATGTGGCCTATTAAATTATTTTACACGACATGCACTTTATTACTTATTTTGCACCTGTATCTATGTGCATACGTCCGTACATATTCTGTACACATTAGCCGTGTCGTGATGGTCGTCTTGGTCGTCGTCGTCGTATGTTTGCCACCAAACCACTACTACTGATACTACCTCTTCTTCTTTCCCCCAGGGTTGCATGGACTTTGGTGGTCATTGTCCATTGTGTTGCGTCAAGAAGAAAGAAGAAGAGTCAGCTCCAGGCAGACTTTTACAATGTAAAATCATTTCGCTTAAGATTTCAGTAAATAAAGAAGACCGACCGACACATAACAACGAGGAAGGATTTAATATTGCAGAGAGTCCCATCTTCTTCTTCTCCGGAGGAACACAATAGAAAAGGAGGAGAAAAGAATGGTTGGTTAGATGGACATGTTGGTGGTGGTGGGTGCATCATTTTATCATTTTTTGTCTCTCAACAACTTGCTCGCTGCGACACAATGACTTCTAAATTAGCTGATGAGGACGCACCAAGAGACCCGCAGACTGGGGACTGTTTCAAAGACATGTGTCCATCACATTAGTGCATCCACATCGCCCAAGAAGTCCGCGTCCGCGTATTTGTTGAACGTGAGGCCTACTCACTCACTGCATTATTCCGACCGGGACGAGTACACGCTACTATTATTACATAAGCGTGTGTAGGTAGACTGGTGGGTGACGGACGACTACGGTGAATGTCCAATCAAATTCAGGAAAAAAATCTAATCAACCATTTTTTGTTCATTAATGTCCTTCGATTCTTGATTGTTGACGTTGGACAAGAGTCCGCGTCCACCACCGATTGATTGGAATTCTTCATTATCAGATGGAGAAATTGCAAATTTTTGAGTGGTTTGAATTGGGTGTGGGGTGCCAGGTAAAGTAAAGGAGAGCGATAAGTGTTTGCAGTAAGAGTACCATTAACTGCTTTCCTTCTCCTTGTCGATGGTGGACATCAGATCATGTAACCACATCATGTAACCAAATCACACCAACGCAGAAGAACAGAATGGATAGATACACATACATCAATTTGTTGGATTGTCTGGGACAAAAAGTCATAAAAGTTGCTGTGTGGAAGTCGATGCTCGATTGAAAATGGCAAAATCCATTTATTTTCTGGTTCCATCCAAATCCAATCATCAAACCGACTCATCTCTTCTTTTCTCCTTGTACATACATCCAGAAGAAGAGTACGTGATGTGTCAAAGTACATTCCTCCTCCTCCTTCTCGGTCGGATCGAGATTGGACGTAGAAGAAGGATGAAAAATATAAAAAATGTAATCAAGTAATGTCATCAAAGGTCCAGAGCCAGAAGGACTTAATGACACCTAATGAGTTTGTTGGGCCAATGCCATCAGATCAAATCTCATCTTTCTGCATGCATGTAGATATGATTCCAATGTTTGATTTAGGATCTAATCGCATGTCTCGTGATTACTTTTTGTGTGCATTTTCTCCCAAATTTTGTAAGTAATACTAATAATACGAATCCAAAACTTTGACCATAATACAATTGACCCTGACTGATTTCTACGCTCAAATATATGATTTGCCGTCATCAAGCATATACAAACACTCCATGGTACAAATGAACATACCTCACTCCATACGAAATAAAAGATCATAAAAATTGCTAATGATCACTCTCTGGTCATTTTTTGTCCATTTATACAGGTCGTGTCATAAATGTCAAATTCGTCCGTCTGGCCTGAGGTTTCTCTCTCAGACAAATGTTACGCAGTGAAATGATAGAAGACAACCGAAAACCACGACCAAAAATCATTATTATGGAAATATTTTGAGCAAAAAGTGCCAAAGACGACGAGGACGATCTTCTTTTTACTTCTCGAGGCATGAACTGAACATTGCTCAAGCAGATCATGACGTCGAGTCAGTAAATAAATGTCTGTAAGAAGTTCACAAAATAAATGATGATTACATTCTATCGTGGTCGTATGGAAGTAAGGAAAACAGGGCCATATGTCTTATGTGTGCTTTGCTCACTCACTTTTGATCTTTTTCGTGGTCATTCTGCTGGATTTTTTTAAACGAGGGTTGAAGCATTTTTCAGGCAAACTACGTATTTATGTACACAACAGAAATGATGGTCATTTCAGAAAAGGACTCTTTTACTCTGCCCCGTTAAAATTAAATGGGACTCAAGAAGAAGACAACTCATTTCCTCCCTCTTGTAATCTCAAACCCCTTAGTTTACAGGGGAAGAAATATGACCAAAGAAAACGACAGCTGAAGAATAGTGCGAATTTGCCTTAATTATAAGTTTGAGGTTTTTGGGACGATAATAATGAAATGAATGCATTTTCCCAACTTTCCATTTCATTTTATGAGGATTGAGCGACTCTGTTTTTCTCCATCCAGTCGAAAGTGATAGAAAAAGATGACGACTATCTGCCTGAACTGAGGACGACCTTTCCATATTTCCATTTACACAGGCACACAAGCAACCACCACTTGTACGTAAATTCTCCTACTAGCAAAAACTAATGGCATGTGGTGTAATAGAAGGAGAAGAAGAGGACGGTGTGGTGCGAAGAGATGATCAAGGACCAGTTTTTGTCCCATGGTCCATAATGGTCATAATGCATGTCATAATCAGGCTCATTACACGCGAGCACACTGATTCTTCCTAGCCTCACTTTTTCACAAATTCTCAGACCAAAACTTTAGTCGTCGTCCGGGCAAACTCATTACTCTTTCACTTTCCAAGAGTTACGTGTCAAGATTTTTAAACAAAAATTTTATGACTATGACATGGACATAGTTCACTCAGTCTGCTCACTCCTCTCTCTGATCTGGAATTGTAGTTCACGACACGGCCAATTTTTTCAAAAGTTGGTGCCCAATAACCACAACAAAAGGAATGTGGTCACTCTGGTCAATGTAAAATAGCGACGACGACGACAGAGGAAAATAATATTCCAGGAAGAAAACCTCAACAAAATTATGATGACATGCTTAAAAAATCATGTAATTTTTAGAATTGACTACCATTGTAATATTAAAGGGAAGGATATTATTGCCCAACATTGATTTGTTGGACAATGCACAACTCTTAAAGTCGAAACCCTTTGTAGTTTGGCCCATTCATTTTTTAAGCAGACGCAAGGAAGACGATAATATTCAAAGTTTTCACATAAGTCACCAACCACGAACGACCACGTACTATTGACCAAAGACATTTTCAAAGAATGCGAATTGCACTTGGAGAAGAATGCACTTTTCCTGACATGAAATTCACTAAAATGAGCAGTGTAATCACCTGAAAAAGTTGAGGTTGTTGTTAAAGAAAGTCATCATCTTCGTCATTACCATTCTTCACAATTTAGATATTTTTCCATAAAGTAAGAAATGTATGCACAACATGAATTACTCTACATTTTGAAGAAAATCTACGTGCGATGGTGGTGACCTGTGTCAAAATTAGATAAAACCCACACCTACCAACACTGAATATCTAATACCCGACCAACGAGCTGACAATTCCTCAATAAAATTATAATCTCTTTCTCTAAAAGGAAAATCAAATTAATTTTCAGACAAAATAATTTCTTGAAATTATGAACCATGACATAAGTTCAAGGTCCGTGGGTAGTTTAAGCAATGAATGTAAGTGATTAGTTTTTCCTCACATTGCATTTACTTGCAATCCATTACATTTATACTCCTAGAGCCATGTTCTCTGTATGTACGTACTTATATTATGCCATTGCATTTGTCAAGATCAGTCATTTACCTACAGCATGGTCAAATGTTTTGAGATTTTTTACCCCCTTTTTTGCCTCCTCGTCGAAACAACCACACCACGATTCGAACACGGTCCTTTTAGTATCGTAATCGCACATACACAACTCTTTAGCAGTCGTGGAGTTGCAACAGTCTGAAAAAAAATTACTAACTCACTCACACTTCCAACATCAATCTACGACACAATGGGAGCTGTTTCTCGGGACAATTTATTTTTACAGACGACTGACAACATTTCCTTGCCATGTATTAACTTTGGTTTGCCAATCAATGGTCAATTGTGAGAATTTTGAACACTCTGATTGTCATCATGGGTCCTCTCTGCCTGCCTCTGCCTGCTATACACCTTTTATTCTCATCACCACGCTACAAAAAATGATTTGAATTCAAATTTAAGGAGATGTAACCCTTTTCATTATGCAGATAAAGTGCGTCTTTATCCCGACTCTGCTTCTTTTGTCAAAGAAAAAGAGTGTCATGTCATCAT